CAATCTCCAGGCTTTTGAAGAGGTTCTGAGTTTTCCAGCTGCATCTTTTTCCTTAGGTCAAAACTCTGTTGTGAATTTTTTGCTTTGGTCAGATCTGTATCCAAAAAGAATGACTGTTGYTTTCTTGGAAGTTGGAGGTAAGAGAAAGTGAGCTTTTTTATATACTTGAATGCAAGTATTTGAATTCCCCTAAGTTGGTAATTCCAACCGACAAATAAAGTTAGACTCCATATCATATTCCTTTATAACTTGTTTARGGAAACTGTCTTCAATAAAAAGAAAAATAATGATGACTACCAGCTCGCTTTAAATATTTCCCTCGTGTCACTTTTAGCATCCAATTGAAATCACCTTTCCTTTAGCCACACTCCAGACTCCCATATACATAATGTTTTTTGCATGAGATAAAATCAGCGCATAAAATTGAATATCCTCATCAGCACAGGAAGCACATGGAGCTACCATGTGAGAGATCAGTATGCAAAGAATAATCAGAAACAAATGTTTTATCAGAACATTCACTTAGTTTAAATGAATGATGAAATGTCATGGATACCTCAGCTCAGCCTTATCTGCAGCCATTGAAATGGAGCTGATGTTGTGAGAAGACTCCTCGTTTCACAAAAAGCTGTGCCTGGGAAAATGAGTATCTTGAGACCAGTTGGAGTGATGGGTAGATCTCAACTAGTGTCATGATTCTTCGAGTTGATACTGTCTCATAACTGGTAGTCATTGAGCTTCTTGGTACGTGTAACCTTGCTGACAAGGTCAGACATGAAATGAGCAAATGTTTCTCCTCTTCTGCATCCTCCTGAGGATGATGCTGGGAATGTAAATGCCTGGTTAGGTGAGTTAGATGAGWATGCACATGGCAAAGGTGTCATCTGGCTCTGAGGAGCGCAGAGGTCATTCTAGCTGGGCAGCAACAGGGATCACCTTCTTTGAAACAGATCCATATTTGCTAGCAGCATCTGATTGATGCCATGGTTTTTTATGAACCGTCAAGTTTAACAGCCAAATACCTTAGATTCAGCCAGCTCATAACAAACCTTTCAGAATCTCAGGCAAAATTCAGTGTTCTTATGGGAAACAGGTGGCACACAGCATAACGTTATTAAAGGGCATGTCCCAAACTCCCCCAGATATAATACTTCATGAAATTACGAAAAGCTTATTTTGTTTGTCCTGAAGATGTGAGTTYATATCAGAAGATTTCAACTGCATAATCCAGATAAATCCAAACAGACAAACAGGGTCCTATGGGGTATAATTTCATGCCATTGATCACATCGACATGAATCAGAATTGTTTGGTGCCTAGAGAATATTAAGCCTTCAAAGTTTGTATTTTAACTATTTGTTTGAGATTTTTTTTTTTAAATGCATGCAGAATAATAACCAAATTTACAGGACCAGATAAGGACTGCTGGTAGTCTTAGCTGCGATGAGAGAGATGAATCCTCAGCTACTCTTATTTGTTTTAATTCTCCAAAACTGAGTGAAGATTTGGTGTTTTATGATGCCATCTGAAATAATAGAGGATTTTRTGAAACACAGATCTTCAGAGCTTCCTGCTTTAGATGGATTTTCCAGAATTTAAGGTTTTTCCTCTTCTGTCACATACTTCCCCTTCTAAAAGTGGTATTAATGCTAGATCAGATGAGTCAATTTTTTCTTGACACCTTAATGGAAAAAAAATAGTTTTTCTCCCTATGTTTTCAAGAATTTAGGTTTTTGTTATAGTGTAAACTCTCAAAGTAAAACAAACTGATCRTGCTTTAAAACTAATTTCTCTTATTTTTTAAATTCTCATTAATAATGTATATAGAGAGTTTTTTCTTCCTCTCCTAATGCCTTATTTAATTACAAACATTTGTAAAATAGTTTATTTTTCCTTTGCATTTTCACCTGATTGTAGGAAAATTACCCTATACTTAAAATTACCTTTTTTGATCTCTAAAAACAAATCTCTATGTTAAAGAATGTTTTGATAGCCTAAAGTCAAATTAATATAACCCAAAGAGTGCAAAAAAAAAAGGGGGCCAATTAGTGGTGGAAAGATCAGAAAATTGGAAAGACAAAGGGGAAAAAGAAGGTCTTCTTAACTACAGTTTGTGTTTACCTGAGCGTGTCAAATCATTTTAACATGAATCTTACACTATCACTATGACATGATACATAAGCAGAGCTGTTTTGCTCCTCACAGGTTTGGAAACCAAGGAGCTGAGCTGASCAATGTACAAATACTGTTTGGTGTAGTTCAGGAAAGACATTTTCAGTTTTCCCCCTTCAAAAGGATATTAGTGTAGTGCTGCAAGAAGGATTTTCTCTATAGCTAGCAGATTGTTCTGTAGTTTGGAAGATGTACTTTTGAATCCCTTTTTAGCCTTGGAATATATTTGTAGTCTTGGGATATCCTTTCATCTTCTCATCTGGAAAAAGAGAGTGTTCATTTTCTATGTCTGAAAATATTAGGGAAAAAAATCTAAAGCCAGTAACAGCAAATAGTTAATGACTATTAAGTTATTGGTTATTATACAAAAATAGAAGAGGAAGCGAAAAAGGAATTAGTCTCTGATGAGCAAGGGTCAAATCTGAGAGATCAATATGAAATTCATACTCCATAAYAGTTTGATCTCACTTAAAATAGAGATGTAAAATCACTACTTGGCCCTGAGATGAAATTTATATATCAAAATTGGAATAGGCTCTTTCTCTAGTTGTGGTTGAGTGGCAAAGAACRTTATCAAATTTCAGTCTAATAATAAGAATTGTCATCAGATGGTTCTGGTTGCCAAATAAAATGTCATCTCTGAGGGGCCCACAAGCCTGCCCAAGTCAGTCAGAGGAAGTCCTAGGAGAGAAAATTTTTGTAGCAACGAAGTATGATGCTGCCTTTAAAAATATATATATCTATACAAGTACTATAATTGCTAAATGGGGAAAAAATAWTCCCAGCTGTCATGTCTGATACTAGACAAAAACCTGCCCTCCAAATATTTTTCTCTTTTTCTGGTCCACCTAGATAAACCCGCTCTGAAATGACAGTTAGAAAAATGTCTGGGGAAAAAAAAAACAAAACAAACAACAACAAACTAAAAAACTGCAGTAAAAAAAAAAACAAAAAAAAAACCCCAGAACTAAAAAAAAAATGCAGTGACATGGCAGTCATCAAGGGGGATGCTACTGCAGCRCAGATAAAGCTTCTGTAGGGTGTGACAGATTCAATTTGGGTGCAGTTGCTACAGCCAGCAACTTCAGAGAGATGATAACTGCTGCTGAAAGCTTTGTGCAGGGAATCTAGAGAGGGTAAGACTGGGATTTAACAAAGAGTGAAGACAAGATTTACTGTGTTGATTGCAGCCATCTGAACGCCAGTTTGCCTAGAAAGTTTTGATATTACATATACCTGCTCTGGAAGCACAGAGATGTTTGCTCCATTTTTTTTGATTGTTCTCTGTTTTTAATTTAAGGATGTTTTAATAATGTTCATCAAATGATCTCAACTTTATTAACAAGTTAAATTCTTTTATATGAAGACTTATCTGAGACGAAGAAACCACTTTGCTATTCATGGAAGGACCTTGGCCTGTGAGACAGATTGATAGGGACTTATTGTGGTTGTGTTAATTTCTATTTCTGCTGCAATTAGGAGAGCAGATCTAGAAATGGATTTTGGATGTGAAGGGGAAAAAAAAATACCTCCTGTAATACAAATTCTTTTGATTAGCTGACCTGAAAGCACTTTACAGGTATCACAGTTAAATTTCTTGAAAGTTTTTCACTCTAAGATGGTGTCTTGAGATGGTAGATCAGAGTTCAAAAAACAGGTCCAGTTTGGAAGCATCCTGTGTTCCTTGTTGGAAAAGATTGACAGCATCTGTGAAGACAGGGAAGGAAGAGAAACAGAATGAAGCAAAGTATAAGATTGAGTGCCTATCAGAGTTTCCATGTGAGAAATTCGAAGCTAAATAAAGCAAAAGACAGAAAAACAGAACGTAAGTAATTCTGCACTCTACTGTCCTGAGAATTACCCGCTGGTATCATTTAAGGAGAGCAGCTGCTTCTTGGATAAAAAATAACATTTGTATATCATACCACAACAACGACATGTCAAAGTATAATACCTGTACATGGCTCCTTTTTTATTTTTTTGGACTGACCTTTCTCAGTCTGGTTTGGTATTTATCATAGAAAGTTTTTTTTCTAAATGACTGATGTATTTGGGTATTGTTTGTGTAACAACGTGAAAAGAAGATGTCATGCTGTTTGCAGGAGGAGGACAGGAGCAAAGTGAGAGACAGACACTTTTATGGTACAAGTTGCTTGTGCTGTTCAGGTTTAAAACAGGGGCAAAACTGGGTCATTTAGAAGTTTTTGCAAATGTGTGGGTCCATGTCGTTTTTGGATGATTGCAGTGCTCAGAGGGTTGAGTGAACAGAGTGCTGTTCATGCTCTAAATCCTAATTCATAAAATTAYGGGCAGTCTGAGGCTAAATACTGGAACAGAAGGTGATCTCTCCTCTCTGAAGAAGGCTGCTGGTGACTACAGAGAGATTGGCAATACAGCATGATACCAAGGAAGGCAAGTTTGCATCTCCGGTGTCAGAGCCAGGCTAGCATTTCAAACTTTTGTGTTAAGCTAGACATTATGTCTACTAGAAGTTTAAGCAAGTAAAATGCAGCTTTCCCCTTGCTGCATGTTTTTATTACCTGATAGTATCATGAGGAGCTAGACTGAGTTTTCGCTCATGACAGGTAAGTGGACATACCTACATAATGATCTCTAAGGTAGCACCTAGTGAGGTCCACGTTGTACTGCTCAGCATTGCTTCTGTCAGAATGGTCGCTGTAGAGATCTGTAAGCTATCCGGAAAATAAGCTTTGATCCTTGAATCCAGATCACTATCTCAAGAGTAACTCAGGAGTAGAGTAGAATTCTTTAATTTGATTTCTTTTTGTGTTTTATTGTGATTCATGACTATTTGCTTTTGTCCACAGTTGTTCAGTTCAGTGGAGTTTGGCAGAAGATGGCAGCTTCTTCACGAGGGAGTTGCACCAAACAGATTCTATTGGTAAGAGCAAAGCCCTTTTTCCTCTTTCCCAGGCACAGCTGCCCCAAAATTACAGAGCTGTTGAATTGGCAATGTGGCAATCTCAAGGCAATGTGACTGAATACAGCCTTTGTTGCTGTCAATTGCTGATTGCTGAGATTGACTCAGAGCTGTGGTTAGGGGGACRTTCTTCCTCCTGTTCTGTGTTTGTATAACCCTTGGCATTATGGGATTCTTGATCTAAGAAAGATGCACAACTGAAATTTATCTTCTGTCCTTCCCTGACAGCATTTTGAGTTCTAGTGCAAATCAGTATTCAGCATAACTTGTTCCCTTTTGTGCTCAATACATGTACTCAATACATATTGAGTGTGCTCAATACAATCAGTCTAGTGCTGCTCCTAGGGAGGATAAAAGAGTGAAGCCCTGTGCCTTTGAGGACTCCAGCATTTCTGCCGCAGATAACAATGGACAATATAGGTCATGCATTGAGCAGATGGATGCCTACAATACGAATAATGATGAAAATGTTCATTTTCCCTTTCCATGGAGCTCAAGCTTTGAAGGCCTCTTAGAAGTTAACAAACGAGAGAACTCTGCTTTAGAACTTAAAAGGCAAAGAGTAAGTTGAAAAGAGAAAGTTGTAATCACCCGTCTAATTCCCTACAGCAATAACTGAAACATGAAGCTGCAAGCCTGTATTTTCACCTTGCATAAAATGTCCCTTGCATAATACACTTCAGACAGCGCTTCTACTCTTCAAAATAAAATAATACAACTTGTGGAACAGCATTGTACCTTATTCTGGTTGATGTATTTTCCTTATCAACCTGGAGAAAAATACTCATTTAGCTCCAATTATTTGGCCAGCATCTATCCTCAAAAGCATCTATAGTGGAAAACAGAGCTGTGTGTGTGTAACTGAGAGTGCRTGTACAATAGCCTAAGGAACTGGCCTTTTTCTGTGCCACCAAGTACCTCAGGACAAAGTATGTACATTAGTATGTACTCACAGCACTGCTGTCGCTGACTCCCTATGCAGAAAGCCAAAGGAGAACCGAGCCTGAAGAGTTTCTTTACATGCAGTTGAAATAGTGGGAATTCATTGTACAGGTTGTATACAGCCCTTATAGAGCCCTACGTATTGCTTTCTTCTTTTTTTTTAAATATATTTTTTTAGAAATTTAGATTATTTATTTATTTAGAAATCACATATTTTGAAATATATGGGGTATGATGAAGAAGATTCTRAAGTTTGGCTTTTATTCATTCTTCAGAACAAAAATGAATAGGGAGAAGAAATGTCCCAAATCTTTGCTTTTCAAGGGAGATGTCTTGCGGAGACTCTCTGTTCTGTTCCTGGTTCTTTCTTTAAATGTATGGGGTCCTGCACAAATCCCTTTTGTGGAGGTCAGTAGAAAGTGATTCTATATTCCAATATCTATGGAAGGGAGGGGAGCTGCTTTAATACAGACTGATTCCAAGGGCTATCAAAACTTTGCTAACATCAGAAAGCTGCAAAGCAAAGACTCTTGCCTTTGGCATAAGCCCTTCTTGAGGCTGCATTTACCTGCACTGCTTCGTTTGGTGGGAGAGGAACATTTGGGAAACTCTGCAGGTTTCTAGAAGGATTTGTATGCCTGATGAAAGCAAAGATGAATTTTATATTTGAGTAATTGCCGAGTGGTATTTTTAATTGCAGTTTGACCTATTGTGGCATTTCTGAAAATAGTTTGTGGGTAACCTAATCTTACGAATAAAACCACTGAGTACATTAGTTTTAGTATTGAAACGGTTTTGCCTGCAAACACCATCAGAAAAACTGTAGTATTTTTTACAGCTACCTACCTTGTATCTATTTCAAAGGGAATACTCTCTTCCTCCTACCCCCCATTTCCTTTTCTTCTTTTATTTTGTTTGTTCAGTGAAATGCCCCAGAGAAATATAAGCCCCTGAAGAAAAACATTAAAGCAGTCTGCTGGTGCCTCCTGCGTGTCTCTGAGAAAACACTCTATATGGAGACAGCTCAGCTTCTTCTAGCTCATATGTACTTTGTCTTGGGTCCTCTATTTCATGAAGTCACTAATGTGAAAAGAGGATCTTTGTTTCTTTAGACCTCATGTATTCCCCCTTTTTCCTTCTTTCACCTGGAGCTATAAGTCAYGCTCTGACATCCACATTTGGGATGAGAGAGATTGTAAGGTCACTTTGCTGAGGAAGATATTGTATAAGGGATGAGCAGGTAAACCTTTAAAATTAGAATGGACTGGAGTTTTCTCATCTGAAAAAGGAGGAAACATGTATCTGTATTTCTTTACTTCATAAAGAGGTTGTGAGGACATTTACTAATACGTGTGTTGAGCAAGCGGTAGTGGTGAGCTATGTCTGGAAAAGCTATAATCTGTAATAATTGTTGTAACAGGAGGATCTTATAGCATAGCTGTTTTCATCACCTTGGTATGAGGAAAGTAGTACACTGAGGGAGAGGTAATTTGGTCAGAGAGTCAACCATATATACCTTATGGAAACATAAAGGAATCCACACTACATATATGTCCAAGTCACTGCAGTGTATCGACATTTTTCATGTTTTTTACTATTTCTCTGGCAGACTCATGATATTTTCCTCTTAGGCATACTGTGATAGGAAAATGCATGAATGTTAGTGAGGTGCTTGATGAGTCTGGAGCTGTGTGCTGTAAAAATACCCTCATTGCCAGGAAGAGGTATTCTAGGCAGCGATCATTCACCAGGAKATAAAGAAGCAGTCAGTTAATATACATGGTGTGTTGCTGAAAGCAGAGTTTGCTTATGTCGTTGGTATTACAGGAAGAGAAGTACTGSATGCTAGTTAGGAAAATTGGACAAATATTTAATCTGAATGTGTCTGAGTTTATTTTTGTGATACTTGCTGAATTTCAGCACACCTTCCTAGGCATTCCATTTGCTGGCAAAGACTGCTTAAAACTGAATGCAAATGCGAATGCAATTGGTGAATCAATTGTATTGGGAATCACTTTACATTTTCTCCTTCTTTTCTAAGTAGCCCAGTCAGTCAAAGCTCAACAGTGTTAACATGTGACTTGCAAATCCAGACACTCAGGACCAGTAGTTGCAGAAAAAAGCTACTCAAAATGCACACAGTTCAGACCAGCCAAAATATGTAAGTAGAAATTGCTTATTAAAAGCTAGATTTTTATTCTGGTCCTCYCATCAAGTTATACCTTCAATCATAAAACAATTCTTGAAAGTCAGTAAGTCAAGGTACCACTATTAGAGCTGGCCCCAAAAATAAAAATAAAAGGTTAAAAAGCTCATTAAAAAATGTAATGCTTTTTTTCCATGAAAATGTGACATTTTCAGAAAAGATTCTCAATTAATTCTAGTCATAATATAACCTTGAAAAACTCAGCGAAAAAATAAGCCCAAATAATAACAATGTCTTAAAAAATAGAACACAGTGAACAATAGCAAAACCCAGCTAGTAAATTATATAGTCAAGCTAGTTATAATCATTAGCTGTATCAGTCCTATTAATTTCTTTTTAATTGGGTGTTGCACCCAGACAAGCAAGTGGGAGAAATACAAAAGAAATATCACTCCATACTTCAAGAAGATGACTGTCTTAATTAGCTCAGGGCTTTCATGCAGTAAGGCATAATGAATCTTCTACCAAGGTCCTCGTGATGTGTAGTATCTTTAGCACTGTGTGCTAGCTCTAAATAAAAGTGTCTCTAGTACTTCGGCACCTTCAAATTTTACCAATGAGATTTCAAATCYGTAGTTGTGCTTGCATCTAAAGTTTACAAATCTTTGCTGTCATGAGGATGGTCMTGTCTGAATTCCTTATCCAAACACAAAGTTACTCAAAATCTGGGTTTTTAGTTTCTCAAATCTTCTATTAGACAATTACAGAACGTTTTGCAAAGAGGCCCAATATGGTGAATGTTATATGTTATATGTTTTCAGTTATGTATTTAATGAGCAGCTACTGTGTAAGCAGAGTTGTCTTTGTTCTCGTGTTGTAAATGACCTTTCAGGCCTCCGTCAGAGTTTACTGATTGGGCCACAACACTACATGATGCCTTGACTCAGTGAGAAGCAGTGACCCTATTTGATTATATTAACTGCTTCTCAGTTGATACCTAAGTTAGGTAGGTTTGATCCATGGCATCAGGAAACTGAGTCCAAAGACCATGATTAGAGGGCATCTTTCCTCTTCTCTCCGTTCAAGCCAGTTCCTGAGGAAGATCATTCAAATCTCCAGCTATATATTAAAAAGGGATGTAGCGAACGAGAGCTATGTTTCATGTAAACAAACAATATCTAGCTGCCAAGATCAGATCCTCATTTCCACGCATTCCTGCCACCCGGTGATACCAGCAATAGATCCCTACCTATATGGGAATTCAAATCCATCTTTTTCAGAGTATCAGCAGAAGTCAAATTTCCTCTCGAGTTTTCTACAGAGTTTTGTTAGTGAAGAGGGAAGGACGGCTTGCTAATGGTTTGCTGTTGTCTTCACAGCTGTGGATATCAGGGATGGATATTGCTGCTGGTATAACTACTCTAGATTTGTAAGAAATGATGTTGAGCATGGAAATGACTACCCATGACAAGGAAATCACACCTCTAACCCCATTTACCTATTTGCCTAYATTAGTGTTAGCTGTGGCAGGTACCTGTGTTTCTTGGTGAGTCTTGTGAGATGGTACAAGTGGGAGGAGTTTGGCTATTTGGGCTTCATTCACTGCAACTATTTTCCATCTGCTCCGGGAGGGGGAAAAAAAATAATGACAAACTGAATAAAACATTCCTTGGGCTGGATTTAGCCCAGTTGAATTGTGCAGAGTTATACCATTTGGTCTAATTGGACAACGTGATAAAGAACAGTGCGGGGGATACAGCAGAGGGAATTTAATCAGATTACTGTCAGGGGAAATTTATTGGCCAGGTGTAAAGAGATGAAGTACTGATTTATGCCTGTCTGGAAATCTGGCCTTTGTTTCTAAAATATGCCA